TTTTAAGCATTTAACTTTAACATTTAATATTTTAATCTATGAAAATTTTACTAGAAAAAAATTCAACGTGGATCAGGCAGCGCATAGCGAAGGGTTCGAGTCCCGTCTCCTGCCTGGGCGGCGTGGAATTTTTTCTAGAAAAAAAAAATTTTCTTTAAAAAAAATGTCACCCATCCGATGACTGGCTTTTAGCGAAAGTTGCTTAATTAAGATCTCCCTAGCTGTCTTTTAACGTCCGCGTTAACTTTGGTCTTTTAAATATCTGTTAACGATATCAGGGTTAGTTTGTCGGGAGTTTTGCGTTGTTTTTAGAAAATCACATAAAATGACGGAAGAATCCAGATAATTAGTGACCACCTGCAACGCTGCCTCCCACATAGATCATCAACTATGTTGCACTCTATCTTTCAAAAACTATTTGTAAGCAGTGAGTGTACACACACTTGTGTTTATATGCCAAAATAATCACACATTAGGGTCAATGGCATAATCAGCTGTTGTCAATGACTGCTAGAGCTGCCATTTGGTGTCAATTATTATTATTTTCACCACAGAACACAGAAAGAGGTTTCTCTGTTCTGTGATTTTCACAGACAATATTTAATAATAAATTTATTTGTTGCAATTTATGGTATACTTGTGGTTTCACTGCTTTTTACCTGCGTATCGCGACAAAATGTTTTGATCGATCCACTCTCTTTAATTTGTGGACGACCTCCGTGGTCGAGTGGTTTGTACGCCGGGTTTCATGGTGTCGCCGACTCGAGAGGTCCCAGGTTCGAATCCCGGTGGGGGCAGACGTTTGTGTGATGAATACGAGCATTTGTACTCCAGTCATAGATGTTAAATATGTATTTCTATATAAGTATACTTTTAAATGTACAGTTTATGTATTCTATCCGTTGCCCTAGTATCCCATAACACAAGCCTTACAGTGCTTACTTTGGCGCTAGGCTAATTGGTGTGTTTATAAAAAAATATTTAGGGCATGTCCTGTATATCGACGATACGCACTGGGCTTCAGAACTTGGTTTATAATACGCTCTCTCTTGTCTCTCTCTTTGGCTATATCTATTGCATTTATTATTCATTATTTATTTTACCGTACCTGTTACACCCCCCTTCTTGTTCCTCTTATTTATATATTTTCACTGTCATGGGTTGCCTGGAAGAGATTGCTGTTTAGCAATAAGGGCGCCTATTGTGAACGTTTTCACTGTCATGTTTAATGTTTTGTATGTCCTGTGAGGTGTATGTCAATAAATAAGATTATTATTATTTTATTTTGACAAATTATAAGAAATACTGTTTTGGTTTTGATTTGGAAAATATATGAGAACTGTGGGATCAACTGAAACTATAAACAGGTTTAAATTATTGCATAATATTGATTCTGCATCTGATCTATGTATTTGTTTACAGTTAATTTGGAGCTCAATATCAGTGCCCTATTTATTTATACCTTGACCTACCTATCCACTCGGCTACTAGTTACAAGAGCTAAGAATTGGCATCAACTCGTTGCCAATTATTAAAGCATGTGTATTAATTTATGACAGTGTTTGTGGACAAAAATATATAGACCTACCTACCGAATCCTTTAATACGTATCGATAAAAGTTATGAAAATGAATGCATTTGTTGACAAAACGTCACACACGCAACAAAACTAAATAGGTATTAAACCAAAAGAAACAAACACGTTTACACGTATATAATCACCAATGTTCCTAAAAAAACTCAAAAGAACAAATGGGTTGTTCTTCTTTTTAACCTACAAAAAGGTGTCTTCATCCGTTATAAAAAAATATAATCAAAAATTATCGGTATTATTTTATAATTCATGTATCAATGTGTACTGTACTAAAAATGTAACGACTATACACGTTTAAAATAAATAATAATTTCTATTTTAATACTAAAAATAATGTTACAGAGTCGTCAATCCGCTTGACAGAGGTGTATTCCATACAAATCACAGTTGTCTCCCGCTACCTGGGCCTGTGTATAATTCATAATAGTACGAAAAATATAAAAGACAGTAGCAAATATAAAAGTATTTTTTAATGCTGAAAGATATAGGCCATCTTGTAATAGTGACTAATTTTTTTTGACATTTTTAATAAAAGAATAAAAAAATCTTATAATCTCGTCTCTCACTACAGACTGTTTTAGTAGGTATATTCGGTCACGTGTTTTTTCGTTCGAACGACGCGTATACGCAGTTCGCTTTTCTCGCTGTCGATAGGATATTTAGTTCCCCCTCCCCCTCGCTGGGATTACCTCTGCAAGGCCGAGAGATCGCGCGTTAGTCGCCCGGTAGCTGATTAAGAATGTGCGTGTGTTTATTCGGCGACAACTTCGTCACGTAAGTATTGGACAAAAATATATTAATTATAGTTACTTCTTATTATTTAACTTTTACGTAATAATAAACACTTTCGTGCCAACCTTTAAGATTTGTATTATGTGGTAACGTTTAATTATTATCGTTTTTGTAAGTAAGATTTACCCCTCCGTCATGCTACAACTCCGTAACAAACAAGTTGTGACGGAGTGGTAAAGTACGTGACGGAGGAGTAAAAAATGGCAAGGAATTCAATATTATCTCACAAAATATAAGAATCTGTTGAAATAGGACTAGTACTTATTATCGTAACTGTTTCGATATGAAGTTTATCTAATGTTTACATACTTATTTATATATTTTCTTTTTTAAAAGACAAAAAGACAGCGGCGTTGCCGGGAGAAACAAAAAAATGATCCAGAAAAAGTAGCTGAAGTGAAACGCAATGATCTCGAGAGATATCATACTCGTAAGAAGCTTGTGGCTGACATGACCGTGAGAGAGCATCGTATGATGAAAAGAAAATGGCAACAACGAAATAAAAAAAGAAAGGAAAACAAATGCTTGAAAACGTACTATTGAACACGCCGGCTCCAACGCCAATACCAGTAGATCCACAAATGCGTCTTTATTCTGCAACACCAACTAATTCAGAAGTATCTAGCTCAAGGGGGAGGAAAAGAATTCTAACACATCGCCGATATCTTTGCCTCTTGCTACAATAGCATCAGCTTGGCGTTTCAAAGCTCCGCCAATACCATCAGCAGCTCCGTTTCCATGTCCTGATTCAAAAAAATTCCAAGATATTTTATGAAAGTTGTACTGTTCAAAAAACCGGTACGCCATTAGGTAAAAGTTAATCTTTTCCTTATACTAGGTAGCTGGTCCATCTAAATAAAAATTTACAGTCTGTAACGACTGTAAATTTTTCGATGATTTGTTTAAAGGTGAGCCCAGATCGCAGAAGGCCTATGGTTACCAGCAAAATAAAATGTTTTTGGTGGCACACGAAGACATAGACAACGTAGACTCTTCCAAGCAATATTTTACCCCTAAAAGGAACCATGCAAATCCATCAAATGTTCTCAGAAACTCGTGGAATCTTAAACTATAGGGTTCTGAGTTGTTTTTGTGAACAATTCTGTTCGTGTCACGTTCCTTAAACTTACTACACGTTGATAACATATTTTGGACCACTTGTTTCCTAACGATAAAGACGACGTTGTAATTCATGAGATGGAGGATTTGTCGCTCACTGATATTAGGAACAAAATTAGGATGCCTCGAAAAAGTTTTTATGATAATGTGTATGGCCCGGATGAATCATCTGTTGAAGACCAGCCATTGGCTACATATAAAAACAAAGATTCCTCTAATCCAACTGCCGTTTCTAGTACTTCTTATGAAACACTTCACCTTGGGGACATTCATCCAAGGAATATAGAAGACGGTGTACATGTACTCGTTAAAGTAAAAAGTGAAACGAAGTTTCAATACACATAAGCTGGAGTAGCAAAAAGTAACGTTGACGAAGAAGGCAATGTTCTGGTGATGTTCCTGAAAACAGTCGATGATTGTGGGAGATTATTTAAATTAGTGGAGAATGTATTATCGGATGTTCCGTATGAGGATTTGATTAAAATTCTACCAAATCCAAAGGTAGCTAAAAAAAAAGACAGTTTTTCAAATTTCATGAGCCTTTGCCAGTGTTTGAAAAGTAAGACTGGTTAGGACTAGTATGACTTGTGGAGAAAGTAATTTGTTGTTGATGATTATTATTTTATTTTAATTTTTCAGGCAATTTGAACATTATTTTTTATTTTTATTTAGTTGAGACAAGTCAGAAGTCTTATAATTTAATTATACTATAATACTGATCTCTCATTCCAAAGGTTCTGCAATATGATTTTATTAGTATGTAAGTATCTTGATTTTAAGAAAGCGGAAGACTTTGAATAATAAGAAATAAAATTATACCAAAGAAGTAATAAATGATTCTAAATAAGTACATATAAAACCGATTTTATTCCAACATACAACCTAATATTTTATAGAATAACAACTCTGTCACACACTCTACCACTCTGTCATGATAATGTCTCCTGGTTTTAAAATGTTTATAGCAATTTTTATATTTTGTTATGAATAGTACAATTTCGGAAAAATCATATTAAAAATAGTTAACTATAATATAGTCTACGATATTAATATTTCTATGCTAGAAGTGGTTAAAATTGATTTATAGCAAAAATATACTTCAAACTAGCTGCAATTGTGACAGAGTGGTATAAGATTGAAAATATATATTTATTATAATATGCAGAAATTTTGCTTTGTATGTTTTCTAAAAGGACCATTTGATTATTATTGTAATAAATAATTTGCAAGTTATCTGAGTTAAACTATTTGATACAAAAAAATAAAAGGTATTGTGACGGAGGTGTACAATTATTAGCCCAATCCATCTTTAAGACCTTGAAAATCTTATAAAAATTTGTAAACTTCGTGGCCGACCACTTTTTCAGATAGAATAGACATTCTGCTGCCAGAAAACATATAAGATTTGACTAGAAAGCGTTATAATTTTTTTTGAAAATTTGAGTAAAAATTTTACCAACATGTAGGTTAAAAAAAAGAATGACCCAAATATTTTATTTCAGAGTTGCGAAGAGAAAATGGGGCAAGAAAATGCTGAATCTCCGTACGAGGTACTTTTTTCAACAGCGCCATCTGTACTTTAGACTTGTAGATAACTTCGCAGCTTGCTTTTCTTAAGCGTGACTATGCTTTCATTTCACAAATTAGTTATTAACACTTCACTAGATGTCGTTACTAAGTGTGCAACTAATAAGTATAAAACAACGCCTTGTCGCGCTAGAGGGCACTGACTGTTCGAATATTTCTTGTGGCGCTAAAAATAAACTCCTAAAGTGCAAGATGCATCTCTAAATTCAATTTGATTTATCGCGGATACGAGAATGCGTTATATTGAAGAAAAGAACGTCAGCTTCAAGCATGTATGTATTAAACTGTTTATTTAACCTACTTGATCCATTTGTATTATTTATTTTTGATAGCGGTATAGGTACTAAGGCCGTGTTAATTCATTAATAGGTAGCAAAATTTTACTATGAGTTAACGTGACATTAAGTATAGTTAAGTTTGACTGTAGTTTATGTTACGTCAAATATATACTGAATGTGTGAAATTTTAACTGTAGTCGAAATACAAGAGATAAAATGTCAAAATTTTACATACTTAGGTAGAATGTATTTAAAGTGGCATTAATAATAGTCAAATTAAAGTGGATGAAATATCGTGGCCTCAGTAATGTATAGAATACATCTCTACTATAACAACATAACTAACAAAATTTAGGACATGATATAAGGATAACATAAAATATACTTATAGCAAATCAAACCAAATGTTGCTCGCTCAAATTCAATCAAAAAGGTACTTACTAGATCGCTTCGAGACAACCTTAGGATGGAGAGGATAAGAAAGAAGCTGGAAAGATGGCGGTGTAATTACTGCAATTTAAAAAAAAACAGACAGTATATAAAACATACGTGTAATAAAGATTCTATTCGCTATTATGCATGTAATGCAAATGCTCTGCCAATATTGATTTATTTTAAACGAATTCTAACGTGACTTTCTGTAGTTGCAAATTACTCACTTCTTCAGAGTGCACTTCTATGACAATTAGAATTTATGGATGGTCGGTTATTAAAATAAACCTAAACAGATGCTGTAAAGCGGCTAACGAGACCTAACTGTGAATTAATTTAAAATTATTGTAATACCTATCTGATTCCTTTTTATGTTACATTACTAATTTATTATTATCATTACTGAAAAAAAAACGACGGGTTGCACTCCGGGAGTGCCGGCAGAAGTAAAAACTTGAATATTAACGTTGTGCATTTTTGATATTTTGTAATGGTTTGGGAATATTTTTTTGCACGAATTGCTTAAATTATTAGTATAAAAGTACTATCATGTATGTGGTAGAATACAATATTTATTTATTGCGCTATCGTACACAAATATGACAATTTATATTACATTAAAAAGTTTATCTCTCGGAAAAATCAACTTACATGAATCACATTTATGCGCACCTAGGGACATCTATGGTAAAAAGAAACGCATTTTCTTTGTAATAAAGCTGCCACGTGGACGTCCTAAATAGAAACTTATTATTATACCTAATACGATAAAATAAAATATTACTATGTTAAAGTCAACAACCTTTCCAATTTTATTATGTGTCATGATGCGATCAGCCCACGTGTTTAACTTGACGCGAGTTTAACATTTTTACCCATACAAAAAAAAAAGTGTTCAACGCCGCTACAGAAGTTTTCACTTCAAAAACATCTTTATCTCGCTTCTCACCAATATTATAATCAATGTAAAAGTTTTCATATTATTCTATGTTTTCATTTGCAAAAGACCTTTGGATAAAAAGCTAATTGCTAATCGTTATAAATATTGCTTGACTGGCAGCGAAAGGAATACATAGCACGGGCCAGCTACTATCGTTCCTGTGTTAATTAGTAAAAGGACGTGAAAATAAGTCTACCGACCGGCGCATCATGGCGTGATTGGTCCACTCTTCATCCACGCGTGGTCAGCTTGCGAGCGCCTCGATCTGAAGTTGATGTAGCAAGCACATGATAGAAATCCATAATAATATTATATAGTAGAAAATCCGGACCAACGTCGACCTTCACCGAGCTGATAATAGAATTAAACATATTTTATCATTAATTTAGTATATTAGAAAATATATTAAAAATGGGTTGCCTGCCTACCTGGCATCAATAATACCTGTTTATACCTAGCAGTTCGCCCAGGTAAATAATAGACAACCCCACGGCTGCACATTTTATACAACGACACCCTATTATACTGTAAGTGAGAACAAAATATTCTTATTATCTTGATTTTGCAACTTTTAATTAAAAATTTACTCTTTAAATTAATTAAAAATAGTCTGTCCAGGATTTTTTAGGCAACCCATTTTTAATATATTTTATATTATACTTAATTCATAATAATATATCTTTCATTCTATTATCAGCTCGGTGAAGGTGGATTTAGGTTCTGATCTTACTTTAGCTAATATTAACACTAACCACGCGAGGCGTTCCGGGTTAGCCACTGGAACGCGTGACCGGAGGTGCTACGAGCAATTTAACTGTAGATACATTACGCTCCCACCCCTGTGAAGCTAGTTTATATTTGTGAACAATAAGAAAGAGTCGCGCGTACCCATGGCCAGCCCGTTAGCGTCATCATCACCCATTCCAAAGGCAGTGTTTCTCTATTGATTGAGAACAATAAGAAAGAGTCGCGCGTACCCATGGCCAGCCCGTTAGCGTCATCGTCACCCATTCCAGAGGCAGTGTTTCTCTATTGATTGAGTAGGGAGATTCGGCCACAACCCACCACGCTGGCTCAGTGCGGATTGGTGGCTGTTAGAACGTAAGGTGGTAAATGAGTGATGCTATCTGTGACGTTTTCAGGTCCGGTCTTCCGGAGAACTCGGCCGCTACCTGGCCGCGGCCCGGGACCTTTCACCCGACGACCTGGTGCTGACTGAACGGCCTTTAGTTTTCGGACCCAAAGCAATGCCGGACCCTGAGGCGTCGGTGCCTTGCGTGGGCTGCTATAAGCCCGTCTACACTGATGTAGGGGAGAGATGTCCGAAGTTAGTGTTTTGTTAGCATCATAATCTTTATCATCAGCCTATTAATGTCCATACTGCTGGAGCACAAGCCCGCCTTATGGATGGAACAGGGAGACTGACCCATCTCGCGGACTGAGTACAAGTTGGTGGCTGCTAGCGAATGCAAATGCAGCCTACAAGCCCGTCTACACTGAATAAGGGGATATACAGGGTGTTACAGAATTCCGAAATAAAATTTGTAGGTATGTATTCCAAAATAAAAATTTGTAGGTATCTGAGCGGGGCGCAGGGGCGCCTGGGGGAGAGAGGGGGGTTGTTTAGGTAGTAGTAATCGTACGCATTTATAGGGTTGTCATAGGCAAGTGTAAAACGATATTTTTATTAATTTAATTAGAAAATTAAAGTGGTCTGAAAGGCGTCAAACTTTCGTAGGTAATTCTATACAAGGAACACAACCAAACCCTAAAGTTTTATTTCGGACTTTTGTCACACCCTGTATATTCGAAGTTGGTGTTAAAAGAAAAGGTTCAGGAGAATATTTACTGTTATGATTTCGTATCTAACAAGAGTTTTATTCTGCTTTAAGTATCTTTCTCATGGCATTAATGAGGGTGCAATAATATATTTTGTGCCTTTCCGAAAGTAAGCTTAACTTTTTTCTAGAAGAAGACAAAGGAAGATATAAGAACTGTGTATGTTTCAAATTTCATCTCTTTTGACCATGCACTATGTTTATCAGCATCTCATCCTATTAAGTAATATTCCCACTGTTGGGGTACAGGCCTTTGCTATAGATGGAATAGGGGAATTTGGCCATGGCCCACCACGCAGACCCACTGCAATTAGTTCGTGAGTCCGTCTACACTGATGTAGAGGAAATGTCCAAAGTTAGTGTTTAGTGTTTTATCATTAAGATTATCAACTTTTAAAGATCCCTTACTGGGGCACAGGCCTTCCTTGTGAATGGAATAGGGCTGTTCATAGCCCTAAGTACCACGCGGGCAAAGTGCGTATTCGTGGGTCTCCCTTCAGATTGAGTGGTTTTTAGGCTCCAGACGTAGAAGAGACTTCCCCCGAGGGGAGATGCCATCCGCCTTGCATACCTCTAGACGTAGTCGCCAATTCTCGGGTTGAGGTCCCTCTAGGATCTCGCCTTCCTCAAACCCGGTGGCGCTTTAAATGTCACCTGCGACCAACAGCATACGCACTAAACAAAGTATTGGTGGGTGCTAATGACTGCAGATGCAGCCAGAACCAACGGCAAATTCCAGCGACCTCAAGGGGCATTATCGCAACTTTCAGTAAGAATTATTTACCAAAACCAATAACTAAGACAAGTAAGACTAATTCATTAAACTGTTCGTTTAATCAGGTGCGGTTGGCCGGTCTGCTCGGGCTACTGCCCAGGTCTGAAGGATCCGAGGCATCACGGAGTGGAATGTCATATCCTGAGCGCTCGACCAGACTGTGTGTTGAATGATATGGCTAATTATTACAGGTAAGTAACTGTTATTTTTTATGTTAAAAGGGTGGTAAACAGGCGGATGGCCCGCCTGATAGTAAGCGGCTACCGTAGCCTATAAACGTTTCGCAAGCGGCATCAAAAATATCATTCGCACCATTGCCTACCCAGTGGAGCCCTGCCTCCCTAACAACCTTGCGAATGCCCTCTAAGCTGCGAAGCCGCGGGATTAGGATTCTTCGCTTAGGGATTCTTCCGCTTCTCCGCACCTAGCAGCCTCCCGGCCTAGCCGGGGCTCCGTAGGGGTCTCCCGGGGTATCGCGGGGACCCCGCAGACGTGCGCAGGATGGCCCGCGCATGGGGACTGAGTACAAGTTAGCCGTTAGTACCGCCCCCTACCATGAGTACCGCGATATGGTATATAATGCGTTTTCATCACGCTCAGTTGTCAAATTACTATGGAGTTTGACAGTTGAACGCGATAAAAAACGTGATTTAATGTAAATTGTGTAGCTCATGCTACCTGTAGCATGCTGCCAAGGTTAAGTGCCTGCACTTAACCTTGACAGAAACACAACATCCCCAAAAGGTAGTGTAACTTTACAGTAATCTTCTGTAAAAGTTGGAGGTTACTTACCCAGACGGGAGCTGTAATACGAGCGGAGTATCCAATATCATATATAATAACTTTCTCTTTTACTGGGGATTGCAAGTCAAATTCTCACGAAAAGTTCAACAATATCGTAAAAGGTCTAACATATGACACACGCCGAATTTTAAACCATTTGCAGTCGCAGAACTGCACTGCACAGAGGTAAAATGATAAGGGTTTTTCATATATTTCGTGGTATAACATGAAAAATATAGTTTATTTTGTACATTATAATAGAAATAAACAAAAATTAAATGGACGGCCAGACAGCAGAGGCTTAGTACTATGAACTGCACAAGAAATGTGTTTCTTTCACCTCTAGCCAAACTTGAAAGATTTAAGATATCAACACGAATAGTCGTATTTATTTTTCAGAAAGCAAATAACCATAATTTAATGGAATTATTCTTTAAATGTATAAAATACTTTATCAATATCAGTTCTACATTTATCAGTGAATTCGCTTCAACTATTTCGTTCGAAATCTGGTTATAAGATTATGCAAAACTATAAATATTGCCTTCTGATTATAAACCTTAATCTTTCTAACGTAAATGTTGAAATTGATCGAGCTCGTACACATACCATTTTGTGGTGATATGATTCTCAGTTTACTGTTCATAAAATAAACATACATTTTTATATTTATAGCCACCCATAAATGATTCATCACTCAATCATTTCCCGTTTTATGTTCAAGTGATAAAATGTTATTCTTAGAGTTCGTTCCGCGGCATCTTTGACTTTAAACACCCAGTCGATTTCCGCTTGGTCGGATCGAAGTTGTAGCTTATCGCGTATAATGTTGCGGCCATTTTGCGCATTATGGTGCTGACAGTCAAACTACTTCAGAAGTACTTCCGGACTACTTCGGGCCACTCATTAAAATGATGATATCTAAAAAGGACATTGTTCTGCGTTCATATATTGTTAGCCTAAGAACCAACAATCATGAAATATTATATTCTAGGTTCGAAATTGCAAGTACACTTCTACTGAGAACTTAAATTATCAGGAAAACTAAATATTTTTTGAGGTTATGTTTAATATTAAATGATATATAGGTCAACCTATGAACTTAATATGAACTCAGTATGAATTGAATTAATATTGCAACTAATTCATTTTTATTCAGTGCGATTTTAAAGAATAACTATTAGGAAAAAATTGGTTAGGTAGGAATCATGAATAAAATAAAAACTGTAGTGTTGCTGCTTATTTTTTGACTATTTTTCACATAATTGTATCATATTGTATTTATTTTTGTATATAACATGTATATTGTGTAAATATGCAGCGTGAATGTGCATCAGCTGCTCTTGAATAATTTGGCAGTATGATCCTCTCAGGATGTTGTGGCACAGGTTCTCTAGCACTTAGTAATAAGGTCTCGGCTATTAGGTAACATCGATGGCATAATAAATAGCCAAAATAGTTAAATTATAGGAAAAACAATCGCAAATAAACACACACAACAGGTAATCCGAAACGAGAATGCACGAATGCCACAGATTACTACGAATGCAAACTGCCTGCACCACAACCACAGAGTATCGAATTTTGTTCCGGCTCTTCACTAGACAACAGTATGTCCTTGTCATGCTTAATATGGAATAAAAAGGACAGACTGATGTCGTTTTCAAAAAGCAAACACGTATAGCCAAGTGAAGTGCCGGCAGTAGGAAGAAAGAGTGTTTTTTTTGCAACGCTGTCATAGATTATAAACATAAAATGGTAGTCTCAAATTATTTTTTAACTTTTTAATATATCTTACTTAACTGGAAGTGTCCGCCACAATCTAAATACGGATAATTATCGCAAAAAATATACTAAGAATTATCATAAATGCCAAATTGGTGTTGGTTCTTAGGCCAAATTTAACATTGTCCTTTAAGACTATGTTTAAACCTTTTATTACTGGCCTACTTATTATATAAGCTATCAGATTATGTATAATCGAGTATAGTTTTATTGTTAATTTTATTACTAATTCGAAGGTGAAATTAGGACAAGTGATCTTTCTCCAGTTTTCTGCATTAAAATTCTTATAATCATAACTAAAAGGTTTTGATAGAAGTTATATTTGGATTTTTTATCAAGACACACTACCTCATACATTTTTTTAATCGTAATATTCCGAAAACACTTGACGCGCCAAGACTGAATGAAGGCAAACAAAAGGCGCGCTCAGTGTTGATTAATTTTATTTAATTTTAATGTTGAAGATATGCTTTTACAGGAAATTACTGGACAATTTGTCATTTTTTGTGCTCTTTCTTACACTCTCGCGACTTGAGTCAGTCTAGCAAACTATCCGAACGTTTTGTTACGTGAGCTGGCCTAACAGCAGGGCAAAATCGACAGAGGGGAACGCTGTGAATGCCTACTGGCAGCGTCGGCCGTGTTGCTCTATGATCTCCGGAATGGATATGACCAATAAGGGAAACCCTGGTGGCCCTATGCTACTCGTATGCCTTTGCATACTGAATTAAATACTAGCGACTAACCGCAACTTATCTTTAGTTTTTGGGAATCCCACAGGAAGCCTGATATTTTTCGAGGTAAAAGTATTTTTTGTATCAATCCAGATTATAAACTATATGCGTAACAAATTTCATCCAAATTTGTTCGGTACTTCTTGGGTAAATTTAGTCACAAACATAAAAACTTTCACATTTATAATATTAGTAATACTAATGTCCGCGACTTCGTCTACGTGGTTTACTTGGTTTTATCATACAAAGTTCCACCTCCTTTTTCATACTCTTAAATGAAGATTTCTGGGTTACCGACTATCCCCTTTACTTTACCGGGACTTCCACTATCTCTAAATCAAATTTTGTTTGATTTGGTCTAGCGGTTTCAGTGTGGACATGTAACAGACAGACAGACAGAAATATACACTTTTGCATTTATAATTGGGTTGTTCTACAAACTAAGGACGAAAATGAGTCCGATTCCGGCCCGACGATTTTTTTTCATTATGGTTACAAAATATAGTTTATCATAAAGATTACATGGTCTTTTAGCCTATGTTAAGTGGAACGGACAAAATATTCAAAAATATTCGAGTTATGGCAATTTTAAGAAATTAAGCAGCAGGAAACTGAGATTGTAATCAGGAGACTGAGGATTTAAACAAATATCAATCAAAATCAACGTTTATTTAATAATAAATTCACAAATAAAAACTATGCTTCTAACCATTAGTTTGTAATTGTCCAAATATCTTGAACTATCGTGATAATAAGTCTATTCTTGACTTATACTCATTATCTATCTAAATCAGTCTTGAACAGGAACTTTTATCATGAAATCTACTAAATTAGCTTTAATAAAATAATAATGTTAACAAACATATTATTATTATTTTGACTTCATAGTATATAGCAGAAAAAGTAACATATGATGTTGAACAAAAATTATATTTCAATATAAACACTCAGGATCCTGCATTTTTCTCAGTTATTTGACAGGATCCTGAGACCAGGTTCCTGAGAATTTCGGATTAATATTTAAAAATTACGTCTATTTATAACATTCAACAAAAATCAAGCAGCATTAAGCCTTCGTGTAAGCAATATATACATCAAAATGCTACAATTACCGTATTACCACATGAATTTCGTAACTAAATATCTTACCAGGATCCTGTGAGCTCGACTGATTATGACGCGACATCGTCCATCAAATGTGCCGGGCAGACTAAGCAACACACTGAGTGCAAAACAATAGGTGGTATTCTTTGTCTCTTTCGTACCGGCAACAAACTCGGCTAAACGTCAAGGTCGCGCGGCTAATAGAATATTGAATATTCGCTTATTTAACATTGGGCAGGATCCTGATATGAAACTGTTGGGACAACTTCTGGACAAAGTTTTTATAATGTTTTTGTTACAATAAATTAATAATATGTCACCTAGGTAACAATAATAATAAGATATCATTAATATTGGTTAAACTTATGGGCTCAATGTACTTAGAAAATAAATAATATTGCACATTAGATTCAATTTTGCTCGTGGGACACTCCAGGATCCTGGGAATTTGACGCTTTGAGTATTTTTTTTCCTAAGATAATATATTAGTATCTAAATTATTTTTAGAGACTAGGTAGATATAGGTATGGTAAACAATATGTTATGAAAATAAACTAGGTTGTAACAATTTTTTCATGACATTTTAGCTGAGCTGTCGAAAATTCCTTACTTTGTAGAACTTCCCAATTATTTTAAGTACCTATATGGACAGTCACTTTATGCTTTAACGTAAGCTTAATGGTGTTCTATCCTACTCTATGGCAATAAAAACTATTTAAGTTAAAGCTATGTAGTTTGTGATATGTTGGGTGAGGTATTAAAATCAGATCTATTAAAATTCCTTACAGACATGACGCTCTCCTGCCGCTGAGATGTGCACTGCTCCAGACTGTCGATCCTGATAAATGGAAGAAGCTTCTGGAGATGCAATCGCACATGGAGTGCCGCATCCCGGGAACTGAAGCTTACGAGTAAGTGTCCAATAAACAATTTAGAGAACAAAAATGATTTCCAGCTTTTATTGCTTAATACCACGGAATCGATAAAAGTTGCTCATAATTATGGAAAGACAATCAGTCATAATGGTGTCGCTGCTTTAGTCTCTCTGTCGCGTATATTAAAAGTGGAAAGATAAAGAAAAACTCAAACATATTTTATCTATCTCTGATTTGGCCCCCTCAGGAGTGCAATATCTGTTTCCTAAACGTCCTATTCAAATATATGCTTTCCAACAATATGAGTTTTCGATCCCTATAATGATTTCTTGCTAGAATGTCAGCTTGTTGAAATGGTCCATGAAGGCCTTTCGGACCAACATTAAATGTTCAGTTAGATACTTAAACGCTCTATTATCTGATACTTATAGATAACTCACAAAGATGTTGCATCCTACACCATGAGTAATAAAAACAGATTTTATATTCCTATGATATCGGGGCAACGAATTATTCACCCAGTAGATTTAACGCTTACCTCGATAAAAGGATATAATTTAGTTTATTTTATTCTACTGTTTATAGCACACGATAAAATATGAACAAAGAGGAAATTAACTCATATTCGCCCCGAAAATTTCTTTGGAGACGTTTTAAGAAAGTAGAAATTTTAGCAATGCAGACATTATAATACAGCACACATATCGGGTAAAATCACATTTTAGGAAACATACATTATAGGAAAGACACATTCTAGAAATGCAGACATTTTCGGAAAGCAGAGATTATTAAAAATGTCACATATTGAGAATAGCACACATTTTGGGAAACAGATATTTTACTCCTGATCGATTTTGAACATTACACTAGTTCTAAGCTCTGCTACTCTTTTATCTGTTCTGTGCTTTTTCTGAGATTAACGTGATATTGCTCTATTTTTTAAGGTCTGATCTCATTATATTATATCAGTTTATCAATCATAATGTGGGTGGACAATAACTTATAAGCAAGCATTGTATATTTATATCCTAACCACAAATTTTTGAATGTTTTTTTTAGCGAAGCTAATGAATTCATCGTTGAATATTTGATGAACCACTTTATCGCCAAACTTGACAACGATACCAAGAAGAAATATCTTCCTGAAATCTCTGCTGCACTAATACACAGAATGTGCGGCATCATAGCTACAAATGCTCTTGAGATTAGACTCCCCGAAGGAGCGGAATTGTTAGCGTTATACACCAATACGTGCATCATGGAACACAGTTGTATTCCGAACACTAAACACACATTCACACAAACAGCTAAAAACAAAGATGAACTATATAAAATAACTGTCAAAGTTGCAATTCCAATTGAGAAAGGCTATCACATAAGTACAATGTATAGTCATGCTTTGTGGGGAACTCAAGCTAGGAGACAGCATTTGAAAGATACCAAATACTTTGCATGCAGGTGTCAAAGATGCAGTGATCCAACTGAACTAGGTACATTTTTGAGCGCCATGAAATGTTTGGGAGATGGTTACGCTTGTGATGGTATACATCTACCAGAAGATCCTCTAGATGATGAGACTGAATGGGCATGCAATAAATGCAGAATTAAAATAGACAATTCTCAAGTTAATATGCTGATATCACAAATGGGTGAAGAAGTAGATAATGTACAAATGATGGGCGGATCACCCATTATGTTAGAAAATCTTCTGTGCAGGCTTTCAACATATTTGCACCCGAATCACTATCATCTGTATTCAATAAAACATTCCTTAGTTCAGCTTTATGGAAGGCAACCGGGTTATACTACTCAAGAAATTTTGGATAAGAAAATAAAAATGTGTCGAGATTTGATTAACATTACAAAGAAACTAGACCCCGGTAATGCAAGGCTTAGTTTGTATAACGCTGTATTACAACATGAGTTACATTCAGCATTGGTTATGAAATCTCAGAAGGCTAATATCGATGGTACCCAAGTAAAAGACGAAAATCTTAAGTCTTTACTCGTTGAAGCAAAAGCCGCATTAAATGTTGCGCTGAGTGCCTTAAAGGACGATTTAGAAGAGACTTCTGGAAAAAAATTGTATGAAGTGATTTTAAAAAGTAAAATGGAATTCGAAAGGTTATGTCAAAAGAAAAACGTTACTTGTTGATTCAATAATTTATTTGTATTTTATATGTTTATATCACATCTTACTAAATAATATCACAGTTTGTTTCTTTGTTTGATGTTACATATCTACAATATAAAATTGATTTGTTACCATTTAATTTTATTACTTTAACCGACCGTCTCATAATTATAATATAAACACTGTTCATCATTGCGATAACCCATTAAAAGTTAAAGATATGTTGTTAATTTATACACAACAAAATTCAGTAGACCTTACATAAAGGAGATTTTAAACGAAAAGACAGTGACGACGTGATCCATCTTCATTCGTTGTTATTATCTTGATGGCATAATCAAGATGAGTGACATGTAATTAATATACAATGTCTTGAGTATAAACTTTTGATTGTTTAAAATACCGAACTTTGTTTGATATAGGCTGATCTATGTACACACTTATAATTTACATATTCTTATTGAGACCCACAAAGGTTTTCAAGTATTTTGGGAGCAATTAGGAATTTCTTTCTAACCAGAGCGTGGGTACCAGTTCAAGCCGGACCTAGTGTTATCAGAGTTGATAATGTTGATGATCCACTCTGTGTATCTGGAGACGCGCGTGTAAACTCCTGGCATTCTGACTCTTGCGCAGCCGCTGCCAGTGGAGACTACTCCGACGACCATGGAGTGGCGTTTGTCCTCGCGGATCATAAGAGGACCACCGCTGTCAGCCTAAGAAACGAGGAGTAAGAAGTAAATAAACAGTCAGTTAAATTGGAGGGAAAAGATTACAGTTGTATATACTACAAAACTTTGTCCTTGACAAGCGCTGATTAAACCTATATTTATAACTGGCGAGAACTGTAGGTGTGGAAACAATTTGGATTTTCCTGAACATGTAAACACCCTAAATACTTCTTATTATGAATGATAAAAAATCAATACCAGCTTCCAACATATTTCATAGCGAATTGGTAATTTAATATAAGCAATGGCGTAAATGCATATTTTTATTAACTTAATAAGTAAAAGGAGGAGCTCGATGGCGCAGGTGGTTAGCGCGTTCGGCTATGATAGTTGAAGTTAAGCAACTTTCGCAGTGGTCGGCCATTGGATGGATGACCAATAATCTTCTTTCTCGAGTTCCTCAGTGCTTCGGAAGGCACGTTAAGCTGTTGGTGCCGGCTGCATCTGCATTCGTTAGCACCCGCCAATCCGACTTGGGCTCGCGTGGTAGGTCATGGCCAGATCTCCCTATTCTGTTGACGATGTTCTTTTTCCAAAATAAGTTGCTAGGTACTTACCTAGCAACTTAGTTATAATAGCTGTAAAGATCAGCTTATACTGTCTCATACTTTTCAATTATACCACAATTCAAACTTCAAAGTATTCAGTACTAAACAATTTGTATACAAGGGGGCATGTTAATGAATGCATCATCCAGTGAGGTTAAAGCCTTCTATAAAACTAAAGTAAGGTAAATAAAGTAAAATTGCATGTTTTGTCAATTAAGTTGTTTCGTTCCGGTAACAAATCAATATTTTTTTATTTCTTCGAAACACGTTGAAAATATAACTTTAGAGGCACTCAGATTTGAGTTAAGGCAATAATAATGCTAACAATACCATTTCTGATGATATTCCATGATCAGCGTGTTCGAATTCCTCTTCAGTTGATGTGAAGGATTTCAGATAGCTCTTACTAAAACACTTACCCAGCAAGAATCTCTGCCTCCATCTTCGTGACCGGCGCACATTTGTGTAGGTACAACGCTGATCTTGCTGCCTTGTGATTTGTACCAATTGTTACATTCCTCGTTAGTTACTACCATTACGCTTGTCTTCTGCAGAACATCTGGTCTTATTCCTGTTTAAAAAAAATATTACACAAGTTGTCAAATGCATGAAGAGAAAAGTTGTAATATTTGATGCTTACAACTGCAGTGCATCTCATTAGTATTAAGATACATCTTTAAACTGAGGAGAGCCTTGTCAAATCACAAATGGCATGTTCTGAAATTTCACAATATTCTTCATGTAACTGTTTGCAGAAAGCCGAATTATAAATTTCATTAATATACTCAAATAGGTTAAGGTGCTCATACATCAGTATGTCTAGATTGTAAACGTATTCAAAATGGCGATTACATTAATCTGTTAAGAATAGTTTTTTAATGGTCATCCCAGCCAACAGACACTTGCACTTAGGAAGATCACTAGCATTTTGCTCACACCAAGAACTAAAGTTCACTAGAGTAAAGTGGTAGTTGGATGTAGTTGTTGTTTTTTGTATGCAGGCGGAAACATTTATCAACTGATAAGCTTCAGCTACATACATAGCTTGCAGTCGCCAGGAACTTCAGCCTCACACTTTACGTACATTTTCAGGATTCCCTTTTTTGCCGTATCAACTATATTCGCAAATGGGCTCTGTTCACATTTAACACAAGGTGAAGTAATTTGCCGCATTATGTATAAAAAGAGACGTTAGCAAATTAACACTGTCTGTATTTTCCATGCAAGAACTTAAATTTAACTAATCCTAAATTGTATTTATATCTCTTTACTGGGTCTTAAGCATCTCTTCTGGGTTTTTCAAGCTACAATTACAGCCAGTCTTATAAAAGAGGTAAAAACGCAAGCCGAAAGCCAACTAACCTTTGGCTCTGTCCTCACTAGTGAATCCCCATCCTGCAACCGTAGCCACATTCCCGCTGAAGTCCTCCGCCTTCGGCTGCGGCAGGCAAGCTGGTCGAAGCTCTTCGTTCCACGTCAGCTGTGTCGCTGTCTTGAGGAGAGCCACGTCATTTGTTTTTTTGTTACACCTGAAATTATTGGCTGGATACATAAACAAAAGAGACTGTTTGACTGTTTCTTTGCTGCTCTGCTTCATATGATTCCTGTGAAAGTGTTTTGCTAGAGATGAATATATTATAGTATAAGGCGAAGAAGCAAATAATCTTTTTTTATAAGTTTAGGCTTGAGAAATTACTTAGGAGTTAATTTCCAGTTGCTGCAATATGTTATTGTGGAATCATTTATCTTATTTGAGAACTCATTATTACAATATTTTCTTCATTCAAGTACTGTTACAAGACTTTCGTGATCTTGAAGATAATATTTTAATAAGTCAAGTTTTGTGTACAATACTTACCTGTAGTCTGGATGGGGTATAATTTTGGAAAGTTGTTTGGCTTCGTTCTTCTTTGACGATATATCTGTATGGCCCACAACGATTGTCAGTTGTTTTGGTTTGTAGAATTCATCGAAAGCACTAAAAGAAATACCAATAATATAAACTTAACATTATTTCCAGAAATCATCACTAATTTATGATAAAGCTCAAAATCCTCGTCAAAGTGATTGTTGTTGAAAAGTGTTGTTCTCGTTATATCTTAATATTCCCGTGGGTCGAAAAATGCGCTCAAGGTATACCTGTCTAGAGAGGTCTAATAATCGAGAGGAGATTAAATAAAATATAATTTTTTTCTAGTTATATTTTCTTTAGATTTAAACATCAAGCAGTTACATGCTTTAAAAATAATAAAAATTATAAATATAATTCATCTGTGTCTGCTGTGGGGTATTTTTCCATAGTAAAGTTCCCAATGTCCTTTAAGAAGAATATGCTTCATCATGAAGTACATGAAATGGCCTGCGTAAACGAAGGACTTTTTTCCGCAGTGCATTAAAATTCCCTCAATCGTGAGAACAATGACCGCCGAGGAACTGTCACGGACTCAACGCACGCGGTGTGCGAACATTGGGTTTTGGAGCGGAATTTAGAGTAAAAATATTCTCATTAACGCGAAGTTTAAGAAAAAAGAAAAGACGTTGCAAAAGAGAATACTGGGTCTATCTTTTTAAATCTGATCAAGCGCGCAACGCCGACTAATCTTCACTGCGCCTAGTCACACGATTTCTTTTCCAGGATTACCCGCGTACTTTTGTCCATTCCGGTCTCTCGGTGTCTTCAGCTGTTCGGAGGACTTTTTGTACGCGGTACTTTTAATACTCCATGTGCGTTACTCGATGCAGTTCTAATCGACTTATTTTGGCGAACAAAAAAGGTCTGTGGACAAAAGTTCCTCTTCTGTATAATATACCTACGTACACGCAAAGCCTTACGTACCTACGTACACGCAAAGCCTTAAGATTTAGCCAAGTCTGTGTAACATACACGAGGCCTGTGTTCCTTTATGATTATTTTGATTGACACTGCTTGTTAAATTAGTAATGGTCTTTGTATACACTCATAATAAGAGAAAACGGACTAAGCGGCGAAGGTAGAACGAGAAAAAATCAGCTTCATCTCTCTCACATTTACATATGTGTCACTTTACAGTTGGTTGGGAAAACTTGTTAAAAACTACCATGAATTCTCCATGCTCTCGCGTACCTGCAAACACAATGACCCGCTGTCAACAGCCACTTATCGTTGAGTACAGTGGCGCCGCACTGATGAGCGCCCTGTCTCCACAAGCTGGCTGCCCAGGGGAACTCTGAGGGTAGGCTGTCTTCCCCGCCTACTATTCTCGCTCGCCGAGCCTGGTCCACACCGCATTCTACGTCGGCCACTAGAAAATATTCAGGGAACAGTTTTATTTTATTGGTTTGTTTCGGTATTTTACCATTAGCACGTACCAGTGAATGTTGAATTCGATCTCATTATGCGTCAAATGTCAGGAAGATTTGAATGGAAATTTGAACAGAGCGCCACAACACTTGACGCGTATCGAGATCGTATTCAACTACTCAAATTCGATATTGGTTTCTGCTAAGGGTTATTAAAAATTAATACAGCATGATGAGCTCGATGGTGCGGGTCGTTAGCGCGTTCAGTCTGCTATCGTATAAGTTAAGCACCTTTCTCAATGGCCTGACATTTGATGGGTGACTAAAAACTTTTTGTCTCGAACACCTCCGTGCTTGGAAGGCACGTTAAGCCTTTAGTCCCAGTTTCATCTGCAGTCGTGAGCGCCCACCAATCCGCACTGGGCTCGCGTGGTGGTTCATGGCGCGTTACCACTCCTATTCCATCCATAAGTAAGCCCTTTGCCCCAGCCGTTGGGACATTAAAATGCTGATGATGATAAATAAGTACAGCATCGTAGGAGATATATTTAAATACAATCGAGATGAACACAATTATGCTTTATCATCAACAGACTAAGTATATCACAAGGCACTCATATTGATATAGTTGATAATTATTAATCTTTACTATTACTACAGTCAACTTATCTTCTTTTTAAATCCTCTGTCATCCGGGATTTTAATATCCACGCTGACGGTTACTAGAACAAAGGCAAATTTTATAATCCTTTAACAAAAAACAAAATGCAACCCACACACGATTTGATTAAACTTTTCACCATGAGCAAAATTTAATATCATAAAGAATTATTAAAAGCACAATTTAATTTACGAAAAGGAAAAGGTTTCCCACATAGAAATTTTCCAATTTACGCTATCTACCGAAACTGGAGGGTATAATCCCTATAATCCATGTGACTTGATGAGAAAAACGTTTTACTGAGCGACATATTGCTAATGAGATGGAAATCGTATCAAACAAAAGAGGACATTTTAGGTTCTCACATAGATGCAAGGAACATAGATTCATAGGAATATTTATTAACCGACTTCAAAAAGAAGGAAGTTCTCAATTCGTCATTATATATTTTTGACGTGATTTATTTATTTATTAGCCTATTTCAGATTACAGTTGTTTTAAAATTTAAGTATATATTTATTATATAATTATGTCAGCTCGATGGCTCAAGTGGTTAGCGCGTTCGGCTGCGATGCATCGTTGGCGTTTACTTCCCCTTTTTCTCTTGCCGTCCCTGAGGTACCAGGTCGTAACAATTTTGTACCATTTGTCCTCTCCTGTTATTGTATTACCTGCCTATCGCCTATTTAGCAATTTTGTCTTTAAAGCTACATCTTGGGTTTTAGTGTATTTACTGATAAAACTGTGACATATTTTGTCATTTAATCGAAGTCCCATCATGCTTCTTTCGATACTGCGTTGACGACTAAATCTTATTTTTTCACGTGATACCGTCTTATAAATCGATGAACACCGCACCGGCTGCACGTATTAAAGTGTGACGTCATGTCACGAGGCATGTTATGTGACGTCAGTTCAGGTTAGTTCAAATTTCCGCGGTATGTGTGAAGTGAGGTCGAGGGTTTCCTTCGACGGGCTTTTACGAAATATGTAAAGATAGATTGCAGGCCAGGCATCTATATTCGGTATAAATATTTGTTACTACAAAAATAAAAGGTGCTATGCATGTCTGATAGATATAAGTTTCCATTTCATAATGAGGATCCGTAACGATTTTAGTTGAGAATGCAGATTTACTCGTATAGAGCTAAGGATTCCATAAAATACAGTGGTTAAATTTTTGTTGTACGACAAATATTGACGAAGTTATGACCAAATTACTATACGAATTTTCGGCTTGCCGCGTGGTGGCTGTGACGTCATAGAGCTCTATCTGTCCGGAGCGAGCGTGCGTAGAGACGCTACTGAAGTTCGACCATAGTGAACCACGATCAAGCTCTGTTACGTCACACTTTTCGGAATCTTGGCTATCATAAATATATAAAACTAGTTTTTTCGGGTTAATGCACGAAACTTTATTTATTTATTGACGTTTCGCAGCCTTTTCAGGTCTGCATCGTCAGAATAATGGACCTGAAAAGGCTGCGAAACGTCAATAAATAAATAAAGTTTCGTGCATTAACCCGAAAAAACTAGTTTTATTTAATGAGTGATGTGCGTGAAAACCTAAGAAACAAATATATCATAAATATGTTATAAAATCGCAACAAATGAACCGATTTCGATGATACATAAAGTATAATAATAAAAAGCTTAATAGATCATTATACTGATGATTTTGAGTTGATTTGCTGGGATAGTAATGATCCTCATTGAGTTGGTATGGCACCGACATCAAGTATGGATTTTAATTTAAACTACTGTAGACTTAAATAAAGAAAATGTATTATTTCTTAACTTTTAGTGGTTTTGTTTTTTTAAAACCATGTGCATCCTGATTATCAATGAACGAAGAATAAGTTTGGATTAGTTACTTCATGTTTTGTCTCTGTTTATTGAATAATCATTGATTTGGCTTTACCACTTGAGAATTATCGTAAAATAATATGATGCAATGCCACGCCGTATCGAGCTGAAATGTCGTATCTTAGATTGATAGAACAATATTGTTGAACAAGGTGTTATTTGGATACATAGGTATGTTATTTTAATACCATTGAATTATTTATTGAACATAGAGAATATAACATGCCAATCAGGGTCGCTATTGAAAAATTTGAGTACACATTTGCACTGCGACAAGTTGATTTTGGAATAAATTAATAAAAGATTTCTTTACGATGTTAGATTTTTTGCTTTCATTCTTTCCATGACGCTTAGAGACGACATTCATTTTTTATAGTTTCTTTACTAATTATTTACAATTTATGGCAGCAATGTCCAATAATATGGATTTAAGGCATTTTTAAAGCGTTTGCAACTGATAATAAAATCAGCTAGGTATTGTTATAAGTAGTTATCTAGGTTTTTAACGTAAATTTTATAGGTTCTTTTTATTAAAAGAATTTTCAGCTATTAAATATATACACATATTTATATATTTTGAGTATGGATTGACTAAAAAACTAACTAAAATAATTTTTATTCATTATTCCGACGCATATTCCTGAAAAGGATGCGAAACGTCAATAGATAAATAAATTCAGTACATCTAACCCGCAAAAACTAGTTTTATTTAAAATAATTTTATCAAGAAAAACGAAGAGCTTATTTCATAACTTTTCCAACAATGAATTTCTTCTTCTGAAGTTCTTGGGTTAACGGCAGGATGAAAGTTACCCTTAGTGAGATGAATGCGAGATTTTAAACTTAAACGATTGGTCGGTAACTGGATGGGTGGCCAATATATGGCTTTAAAAAACATCAAAGGCCATGCAACCCCATTATGTTTTCCTATAGAAAAAGTAAAAGGGAATCGAGAAGTACTCGTAGATGTTAGAAGTGTGTTGAGGGTTGCGCATGTATCGAGGCAGCGCGTTTTGCAAGTAATTAAATTAATAATTTTGAATAATTAAATTAGGTATTAATTAATATTTTGATTTGCTTGAGCGCGACTTAGCTAAAGTGAGAAAAATCTTTGAACTTTTGAGGTAACTGTATAAAGTAAATCTTTTAACACGTTCACTTGGGGTTTCACTTACAAAATTAAGTATTTTTAGGTCCAGTAAGGACCAGCAGCAGGTGCGTTTATTTATTCTAGTATAGGATTTGCTGATAACTCTGAACATATTTAATGTAATAAGAACAGTAAGCTCTTTCTTCCAAAAGTTACTTCGTATCGTGAAACACGTTAGGGCACTTGTCTTTGACATAAGAATATAGTGAAAACTTCGTCAGGCAGAATCTTGTTAACATGATATAAAAACATCTTTGTTAAGATTTTTCTTAAGCCTATGCTAAGTTACGTAACTTATTGACTTTTCTTTGTGTTTAGACTTTAATTCATCCAAATTCGAAATAACGTATTTAAATGTCCCTAATATTGTTATTCAGATTATCTTTAATAACATTACGTATTTATTTCGAGATCTCTTTTTCTTTAAAAAGACTTACATTGAGTATTTATATTAAAACGTATGTACTTACCGTTGATGAAAGCAAATCCAAAATCCAAAAACAATAGAAAGGTGAACACTTCCGTACGATACATCTTTATTGCTATGATTAACAAAATGACACTAAAAATAACTTTTCAGATGTTTTTATACTTAATTTAAAATTAAATAAATACTATAATAATAATTAATAAATAAATATAAATAAAGGTGTAATGCACGCGGCATGCGTGCGTCAACTACGTAGTGATTGATTTTCATAAGGATATTTAAAGTTATATGATTTGAACAGAAATGGTTCTCCTTCGTATGTCTGAAGGCCTGACCCCTATATCTTCGTGAGAGTTGCGCGCGCGGCTGCAAAATTCATCGATATCGATGAGAGATTTTTAAACATGAATAACATTCATACTTTAAACACTAAATTCTAATAGTAAAAAATTAAGAACTAAAAACATAATACTCTTTGCCAGTTGTGTGACAACATTTCGTCATTGCCATAAAGGTTAAAGTTTCAAAACACAATAGCTGCAAAATAATTTGGTATATTTTTTTCTTCTAAAAACTATTATTTTATATTTTTTTTTTAAATCATTATTATGTATGAGAAAAATGGGCATTAATAAAAAATATCTTTATTTTTTATTAATGCCCCTTTTTCTTATTATCATAAACTACATACTATTACGATTATTTTGTTCTATAGAAAGAAGTGTCTCTTGATGCAGGCATTTTTATTCTTTGAAGTATGTTAAGTTTTATTAGTAAAGAGATTTGACTTTTTTTATTTAAATAAAAAGTGTAATAACAATGGCAATACAATCTAAAACATGTGTTCTTTTTCTAAACTGTGATTACAAATTATTCGAGTGCCACTGTGTCGCGCGATCATTTCTACAGTTTCATAGTTATTATTACTATTAACATAATTTTTCAAAACTTTGCTCTTCATCGAACTTATTTTTAGATTCAGCAATCTATTCATCAGCCTATTAGTGTTCCCATATTTTGCGATCGCTGTCCGAACGCGTTAACTACTGTTACATTGGGTTTTTTTCTGTTGTATTTCGCATTATAGGTAAATAATATAGTCATTAAAGGTTTCTTTTTTTAATTTCAAAAGTGTGCCTAATCCATCCCCATAGCATGAAAAATAAACGTCAGGAGGTAGGTAAACATTGGCCTTAGGTAGGGCTTACTTAAACTATAAAAATAGATAAAGATTAATACTTTTTAAATTTGGTGCATAATTTAAACGATAAAATTTAATAACGACATCAGAACACCACTACTCACAATTCATTGTCAGGTTCGTTACAACCTCGGTCGATATTGTGATAAGACTCGCGGAACTACCATTAGCCATAAATACATAGGTGTTATCGAAATATTCCCATGCAATGTCAAAGTGAGTAAACATAGGGTGACAACGTTATCATAAAAAATATAGGATTGTTTCAAAGTATTGTTAGGTATTTATTATATTTTATGGCGCTCAATGCCGCAAGTGGTTAGCTCTTTCGGCTGCAATCGTTGAAGTTAAGCAACTCTTGCAGTGGTTATTGGGTCATTGGATGGGTGACCAAAAATTTACTATCTCGATTTTCTCCGTGCTTCGGAATTATTGATTTGAATTGATTCGTAGATAATTTTTTTTGAGTGAAACTTTTATACCTTCTCCACATTTTTTTCTTTCATCTCTAGCATTTCGCATTATATTTTTAATTGTAATAAAATATTTCTGACCTTATTAACATGAATCGGTGGTTCAATGGTAGAAAGAGGAGCTCGATGGCGCTGGTGGCAAGCGCGTTTTGAAGTGACCGTTGAATTAAAGCTACTTTCGTAGTGGTCGCTCATTGGATGGGTGACCAAAAATCTTCTATCTCGAGTTCCTCCGTGCTTTGAATCTGCAGTCGTTAGCGACCTACAATCCGCACTGAAACCATGTGGTGGGTCATGGACCAATCTCCCTATTCCGTCGATTGGGAAGGCCTGTGCTCCAGCAGTGGGGACATTAATAGGCTGATGATTATGATGAATATTCAATTTAAACTTAAAATGTTCTTTTGACAAAATGTATTTATATTAGTGAAAAGTTCTTTTGTCTCATTTTACTATGTCATTACAAATCTCTTTTTAATTTTTGAGATAGATAGATAACATTTTATTGTGCACACCACATTAAATATTACACACTAGGATGAAACTTAAAATAGTGAACAATTTGCGGTTTTATCGCTGTCCACACATATGTATAATTATATAAAACTCAAAGGTGACTGACTGACATAGTGATCTATCAATGGACAGCCCAAACCACTGGACGGATCGGGCTGAAATTTGGCACGCAGGTAGATATTATGACGTAGGCATCCGCTAAGAAAGGATTTTGATCAATTCTACCCCCAAGGGGATAAAATACCGAAGAGAAGCGAGGGCGGGCCACTAGTATAGCATATAGGTATTGAGGCTGGTAACCTTACCTAACGTATACTCGTACCGCCATATTTTTTCTGAACATTTTTTATGCAAACCTTGTTTAGACAATAACTTAAACAAAAAGTAATTATCCAATTTGGTGTAATCATCCGTACGTCATGCGCGTACAAACATTAGAGGTAATATTTTTTGATTAAATATTTAAGAAGACCTAGTTATTTTATCTAAATAAATAACCCACTTACAATAACTAATACACATAGACATATCAAATACAAATACTCCAAAAGATACACAACTTATTATTTTTTTCCGATACATTTTTGTCAAAAAGTTATCGAATTTAATAGAAGTAAAAAAGCTTAGAGTAGATGTCGCTAAAGGATTTTTATTAAATCATCGTCATAATTGTATATCGTAGTATTTATATTTTTATTTTTTTTACACTCACACCAATTAGCCTAGCCGCAAAGTAAGCACTGTAAGGCTTGTGTTATGGGATTCTAGGGTAACGGATAGAATACATATTCTGTACATAGATAAGTATTTTATATATAAATACATATTTAATATCCATAAATGGAGTACAAATGCTCGTATTCATCACACAAACATCTGCCCCCACCGGGATTAGAACCCGGCGGGATCTCTCGAGTCGGCAACACCTTGAAACCCGGCGTACAAACCACTCGGCCACGGAGGTCGTCTAATATAAATATACTTAAATATAAATATACTATCTATATTAATAATATAATCAGTTTTCATAAGGAACACTAGTTTACTGCCGTCGTCAATATTACATTTTTTTATCTCTTGGTAGAAAAAACTAAATTGTCTTGGAATATCATGGAATTGTCCTGTTCTTGGTTGCAACGATGGCCACCGGACAATAATGACTAAACCGCACCATGCACTTGGTCAAGTGCAGCGCTAAGTGGGGCACATGCATCTTGTCCTACTTAAAGTCGATTTAAAGATAATTTGCTTGCAGCTCGGAACTGATAGTGTTTGTTTGAAGGATTTACAATAAAACAAAATATTTTATACCTACAGCTTCCCGATACCTTTAACCTCCTTCAGCGTTTTTTATGTAAAAAGGGTGGCAACCAAGCATATGGACCGCCTGATCGTAAGCGACACCTTAGCCTATAGACTCTTGCGATATCAAAAATATCAGTTGACGACTCTGTATATAACAATACAGGGAGAAAAAAACAGCCCTTGTTGAGTTTCTTGCCGGTTCTTCTCAGTACAAGGTCACCCACCGTAGTTTTGCGAACCGATGGCGTAGCTTCTTGACCTTCACAAGTGCTTGTAACAGCTTAAACTGAATAAATGACTTTTCATTTCATTTCATCACCCGCGCGCTTTGCCCAATCCTGACCCAATCCTGACCCTGTGGACCTCTTTTGTTTGTGACGCAGAGAAAACCTCTAATTACAGACGACGGCGTCTATAAGAGGCACACCGCCGAACGGACCTCACACCAGTACCCTTAGTACGAGTTTGAGCTCACGAAAAACTATCATAGTTTTCGTAATTGTAAATTATGTTTCTGTGTTCATTTTGGCGAAAAGTAACCAAATATACTTAAAATTTAAGAAGACGCAAATGGTTTAATGACATAATTTAAACACTGTTTATTTGTATTGAAACGAAAACAATAAAATCAGTACCCTTAGTACGAGTGCTCACGAAAACTATCATAGTTTTCGTAATTGTGAAACTCGTACTAAGGGTACTGGCTCCCGCAAACCTTACGGGCCCCCGCAGTTGCTGCCCACTGAGGACCCCGTAACTCTTTCGGACGCTTTACGAAATAATATCCGCTAAAAAAACCCTGCGAAAACCCTCTAAGCTGCTAAGTGCGAAACCGCCGGTTCTCCGTTTAGGGAGTCTTCCGCGTCTCCGCACCCACCTCCGTGGACCCCTGGAACCTTACTCACCGATAGAAACACAACACCAGCAATAGTTTGTGTTATTTTATTGTGGTCTTCTGTAAGTTGGAGGTTACTTACCCAGATGGGCGCTCCAACTCGAGCGGAAAATCCGCTAAGCTCTATCTTTCTTAAAAAAAGGTTGGAAGACCATCAACGTTTAAAAATGTTTATACCTACACCATTCCCATCGCCCGCATCTCAGTGACACCACATTTATTTGGGTTTGCGTGGCTATATGACGTCATCATTGAGCGATACCTGGGGCTATTCTGTAGGAACAATCTCACTTTTCAACTCGGAATCCGTGCTGTGATATTAGAACATGAATTCCTAAAAAAAAAATGACACCAGCGACTTCCGCGGTGAAAGTTAGTTTATCTGCTTTTTTCGCTTGCAACTGTTTCCAAATATGCTTCTGCGTTGAAAGGCTTTTACCTCCTAACTGCACTGAAAAGTTATGACAGGACCATTTTTATATTTCACAACTGATGTAGCATAAAAAATGTGTGCACCATAATCAAAAGATTTCATATTGCCGTAGTTAAATTGTGTATGTATTAGTCCTTGTAACGAAAATTGTTTGAACTTATCTTTGCTTTATTTATGTACTCGTTTTTCTCGGTTTTAAAATAAGGTGTCAAAGATCATAAACGTAGATTTTTTTAAAGTATAAATGTATTACTTTAGTACATCTTTTGCAGTGGTCTCTCGTGGGATGGTCCAAAATAAATGTCGTCCCGAGCTTCTCCGGTATTTAAGGAGCACGGGAGTCATTATCCTGGCTGCATCCACAGCTTCCACTTATCCGCACTATTACCTCCAGTTCCATACATAAAGAGGCCTATGCTGCAATAGTGGATACATTAAAATCTTGATGATGATGTTATTATAAAAGCAAGCTAATATTTTTAATAATTTC